ATTGGGTTGGCCCAAATCCAAGCCCAATTATATGCTAACTATGAAATCTTAAGACATTTGCTAAGCTAAAGAAGTCCCTATGTCTATTCTTCCGGTGAGCTTCTAGTGAACTTCCGATGATCTCTCGGCAATATTCCGGTGGACTCCCGGCAAGCTCCTAGACTTCACGATGATCTTCTTGGCGAGTTCCGACGAGCTTCTCTAGTAGCTCCAAGACTTCTCGACTGGTTTTGACAGAACTTCCGATGAACGTTCGGACTTCCGACGAACTCTCGAACTCCCAACAAAATCGCGTCCTTGACTCCGGGACTTCATTTTGATTCATGCCTTGCTATCGTAATTAATCCTGCACATGTAAAATATACTTCGATCTAGACAATTAATACTAAACATTAATCAAGTTGTCCGGCATGTCATTGGTCCCTTGACGCTTCGTCCGATTCTTCGGCGCATCATCCTCTCTTGCGGCCTATTGCCTAATTGGCCAATTAACTCTGCAACTCTAATATCCTTGGTGTAATATCCGCTCTTCTTGGCCCGATGCCCGAATCCACGGCCCGAAGCCTTCTGTCAATACGTTGACCGATCCACTAGCACGACATCCAATCTTCTAACATGTTCCTTCGGCCCAACATGATTTTCCTACTTTAATTATCTCATCCTAATCGAAGCATCCTACGTTACTCAAAATACAAATTAAAACATAAACACATATCGATTGGTTTCATTATCAAAATTCGAGATCCAATAGTATCCTCACATGAGCAGCTATGAGATCAACCACCTCCATCATATATATGGGTATACAATACATCAATCTGTCTGATTATCTCGATGTCCCTCTCGAGTAACCTATGACCGAGATTATTTAGGATCTGTATTTAAAAGTGAATCGGTCTCATTATCATGATCTTATCATAATCCGATTTCCATTACACAAATCCATGAACATCACATGTAACAAGCAATATAAAATAATAAAATATTAAATAATATAATAAGAAAAAAGAATGCATACCATCCCGCAAGCTATTTGCTTTCTATTTTTGATTATACAAAAGAAGAGTAACTACTATCTAGTCGCTTGGGGAGGCTTTAAATTTATCAGTGCCCCTTTAAATAATAAGGACTAGAAGAAGCTCTTTCTTTGTAAATCTAGTTAGGATTGAGGGTTCAACCATTCTTGGTCGGCTCACTCCTTTGACAATGTCTCTCCCATGTTGTTAGACGAGAAAGGGGACTAGATGCTTCAATTAAGGGATATTCTTTCCTAGTTCGAGACCATTTGAAAGATCGGTGAGAATTGGCCGGTCGATGCAATTCTTAGTTTGACTTCTCAAGGTATATCTCGATCCCCTTCGTTGTTGCATACTTTCGATCTTCTACAGTTTTATAATGTCGGTCTTTCTTTTTTATAGGCATGGACTATACTCCTTGAAGAAATAGTGGCGTGGCTACTCTTCTAGTGTAGTTGTCACCTTAGCAATCTCGACCCCTATCCATGAGGTGCTGCCCGAAGAGTTGGGTTTGACCCAGTCGGGCCAAGACACAATCATTGACTGGCCCAAGAAGAGGTATAAAGTGGTCATGAGGAGGGTCCCTCGTCTTTTGAGGAGAGGAGGTCCAAGGAGCCTGTCGTAAACGGAAGCCTTGTTTTGCCAACACCGGAGCCTACGAGAGTCCTATTTTGGCAGCGTTGGAGCCTATGGAGAGTCCTGTTTTTGCAGCGTTGGAGCCTATAGAGAGTCCTATTTTGACAGCATTAGAGCTTGTGGAGAGTCCCAAAGGGCCCCGGGTCTCCCTTGGGCCAAGGAGAAGAGGGGCCAAGGTCGATGATTGACTTATGCAAGGGGAAATCTTGGTATTTTGCTACTTTGACTATAGTCGATCTACCCGTTCTAACTTTAGGTTTTTTGTTGTAGCTAAGATGGAGAGGTTTGTAGGAGGGGCAGAAGATATAAGATAAATGTGAAACCTTAAAGCAATATTACCCGAGAATCTCTTTGTTTTGGTCAGGCAAAACAAATCTAGCTCTCTCCTTCTAAGGTGTTGCTTGATTAGAGTTATCATCATGAATTATTGGTAAGCCAAGTCGTGACATATTATGTTTTTTTTTATTTGTTTACTCTTTTATATATTTTGCAACACCATGATTATATGATGGCCCTGTTTGACCGGCTTGGGATGCCGGTGTTGATCCTCCTCTTATTATTCTAGTCGAGACGAGAGCTCGAGATGATCAATTGGCTCAAAAGTTGGAGGAAACTTAACAAGAGCTTGCTACATTAGTCAAACAGTTGGAAAGCATCCGAGACAACAACCTAGTTATAAAAGAGAGGCTATTGGGGCTACCTCAAGAGTTTGATTTGGTAAAGATACTCAATTCAAAGCTTGAGAAGGAGGCTAGTGTAGTAGAAAAACAAGCTCGAGAGCTTGGGGAGTTGCTAGAGGTTAAACGGGGTAAGGTGCTAAGGTATCAAGAGAAAACAGTTACTGAATATAAGACATCTGTGAGATTTTAGAAGGAGTTGGAAAGTTTTAGAGTCGCCTCATAAAAATTTGAGTATATGATTGTCTTAGTTCATTTCAAGGTGTGATATATGGAACTAGAGTTTGAGGAAGATCCATTCATCGACTATCCTAAGGATCAGGGCATTCACATGGAATAAAATTTTAATATTCAATTAAAACTAAAATAATTAAAATATTTTAAAATAAAATAAAATTTTAAAAATAAAATCTATAGACACATAATTACGATCCTAAATGTATTTCCTCCATATGGTATTATCCCAAGTTAAGAAAATCGATCATAATACAATCTAAGTTATAGATTATCCTATGTACTCGTTGTAGAGATTCAGGAGACTGCTCCAACACTAGTTTTACAAATTAAAAAATAAAAAATAAAAAAATAAAAGCAATTGATAGTGTAACTTAAAAGAGATGTTAAAAAGCAATGTAGTTATCGAATTACGTTTAAAAACTGAAAAAAAAAGGTTTTCGGGTCGATCAAAGACTGCCACTTTGGTAGCATTCGAGAAAGCTACACGACAGTAACACAAAAAAAAAAAAAAAAAAAGATTGAAACGCCAAGAGGTAAAACAGGGAAAGTTAGGGGTTGATTTAAAATTTTAAAAGGAAATGGAATCGTAAATGATTGAAGTTGAAATAGTAAAGAGAGAAGGGTAGATCAAGCCGGGCAGAGACATTATCCTTAACCAATAGACATTAAGTCTTTTAACAGGATTAAAAGGATATAATAGGCACCTACAATTTCACATCTTCTCGAGTGTAAGTCAAGTGCAATATCCAAAGGTCATAAGAACAAAAAAGATAGATGAAAATGATAATTATCACATTAGATTACTTCGACAAAGTGGATAATATTGAAATTAGTATTATTATCAATTTTAGTTTAAGTATTTTAATCAATGATTTAAGTTAAATAAAATTGATAGACTAGTTAATCCATAGTTATGATATTTGGTATCACTTAATATTTGAATGAAAAGACTTGAATAGAAAAAGAGTATATGTGGATGGAGTTAAGACTCTGAAGCTACCACTGGGTTATGTACCATAATGAGTCTTAATATTCGATTTTAACTATAATGAGTCTTGATGAGGACGTTAAACCTTTAAGTACGAGAGATTGTAACATTCTTGATTAGTTCTATATGTAGGTAAGATTAAAATTAATTTATAAGAGTGTAAGTGGTCAACTTAAATATTTTTATTAGTGGTTTAGATCTAATAAAGTTGATAGGTCAATTAGCCAATTAGACTCGAATCATGACAACGATACCATTAGGGCTTCAGACGGATCCAAGATTATCAAGATTAAATATCAGATAATAATACCAACAGATCTCATCTTCTCTTAGTTCTTATAAGATTTGCATATTGATTTCTTTTCTTCTAAATTTTAAGATTTAATACAATATTCATGATGATTCATAATACTTTCATGCACATATAGTTTTGTGCGCCTATATATCTCATAATTTGTCCTTCAACATGCCAGCTTTCTTGATTTAGCCTATTACAATCAAAACTATGAAACGAAAAGCATGACAAAGAAAATCGAAGAAAAACCTAAAGAGTGTTGAGGAGAGAGAAAAAAATTTTAAACTAAAAATAAATATCCAGAGATCAACAATAAAAAACATACCAAAAAATCAATGTTAAATTAATGTGATTCAATAAATCTTTTCTACATCAGAAAATCAAAATTTTACCATGTGAGATTAATTACATGACCTTGAGTTAGCCCTATTTCAATAAATCTTCTCACATAAATTTCAAAACAATTATCCTTTTTTTTTCTCTTTATAACAATTCTAGAGATACTTTAAAGAGAAATCAAATAACACTAAAATCATTTATCTTTTTTTTTCTTCCATCAAAACTTAAAAAGTACATAAGATATTTATATAAGAATCAAACCTTAATTATCATATTATTTTCATTTACGAGAATTTTTATACTAAATTTTCTTATTACACTAAGATACTACTTCAGAAATCATAAAATATTTATCAATCTTAACAAAAATAATTTAGCAAAAGAATTTAAGTGAATATAAAAAAAATCAAGAAGAGGACGTCTAATGCGAGAAGAAAAAAGCCTTCGGCCAAAGAGACCAAAGGAAACCTCTTTTTTATCTCAAATAAAGAGACGGGCGGGAAAAGAAGCATTTTGAAAGTGGGATCTCCGCACGCATCAAGATTCGGGAACCCCTGGATCTGTTTCCTATCAGCCCAACAATATCAAGCCTGATGAGACGTCGGTCGTGCACGGACATAATAGCAGAATAAATCAACACATGTGGTCCGGTCGAACCACATCGGAGGAGAGGACAAGAGCTACACCCCGAGGTCGAATTCATAGAGGTTGGCCCCACCTGCCTCAGCGACTGCGGCCCGTGTTTCTGAGTGGTACCGATGATAAATAAGAATAATAATAATAGTTAGCACCTGTCTACTCCATATCTCACATCCCTTGCTTTCCCGTACGATATCGTCCCTCTCCTGCTCCTATCTTCTTCCTCTCTCTCGCTCAACGTGTTTGACTCCTATCTCTCGTGCAAGGGCTGACACCGGTGATCCAGGAAACAAGGTGGTGGAGGATGGGTGACAGACGGGTGGCGGTGGGAGTCGTAAGAGGAGAAGGAGGAGGAAGAAGAAGAGGGGGAGACGAAGTTGGGGAGGGCATGCATTGTCTGGACCACCCTTACCGCAGTAACGCCAGCGGAGTGTGCGCCTTCTGCCTGCATGAGAAGTTAAGCAAGCTGGTCTCCTCCTCCAACTCTAGCCCTTTCTTTCCCTTCCAGCCTCCCCCTTGCTCCACCTCCTCCTCCTCCTCGTCCTCCCCTACTTCCTTCAGCTCCGACGCCGGCAACGGAGGTGGGGGACTAGGATTCGCGCTCGCCTCCGACCACTCCCGGACCAGTGCCAACGGCGGTGGTCCAAGGACCATGTTCCCCTTTCTGGCAGACACCCACAGCAAGAAGAAGAAGAATAGCGGTGGCGGAGGATACGGAAACGGCGCAAGGCAGGTGATGGCTGCTGTCGCCACCACGACTACCGTGTCGGCGGCCAACGACAACGATGTTGTCCTTAGAAGGACCAAATCGGTGGCAACGAGGACTACTGGAGGCCTGGCGCAGGGTGGTGGCGTTGGGTGCATCGGGGTGGCAGATAGCCCTCGGAAGAAGAGCTTTTGGTCCATCATCTATATCTCGTCCACCTCTTCCACCTCCACGTCCTCTTCCTCAGTCACTAACAACAACAGCAGCAGCAGCAACATCATGAGGCGAAGATCCACTTCATCCTCGTCGGGCGGAGGGAACAGAAACATTGCCAAGCGGCAACAGCAGCAGCAGACTTGTACACCATATAATTTGGTGGACAAGCAAGCAGCGGTGGCCGGCCCCAGGCAAGGGGAGAATGGTGAGAAGGATGCGGAGAGCCCGAGCGGCAGCCAGGCGTCGTCGTCGTTGGGCAGGAAGGTGGCCAGATCCAGGTCGGTGGGCTGCGGCAGCAGGAGCTTCTCGGGGGACTTCCTGGATCGCATCTCCACGGGGTTCGGCGACTGCGCTCTCCGCAGAGTCGAGTCCCATCGCGAGGCCAAGCCCAAGTCCAAGATCGTCCTCCACCTGGACCACGACAACGGCGACGGGCAGCGGCGGCGGCCGAGGATAAAGGAACGGGTCAAGTGCGGAGGGCTCTTCAGAGGACTGGGGATGATGTCCTCCGCCTACTGGCTCTCTTCGGCCGCCGCTGCGGACGACGACTACGATAGCAGCAGCAGGACATCGGCCACAACCCCGGCTGCCTCGGGCTCAACTGCCGTGCGAGGAAGAAGCTCGCCTCACGGCCGGACCAGGAGCTGGGGCTGGGCACTCGCGAGCCCAGTGAGAGCCTTTAGGCCTTACTTCTCTTCTAAATCTCTTTATGCCATCAGCAACACTGCATCCGCTGCGCCGGTGACCAACGCCAGCGACAAGTTGGTCAACAGCAAAGCGAGCAGACTCGACGGTAATGCATCGTTTCTTGCCGTAGAAATCTAGCAAAACACGTATACCTCTGTTTTCTGCGTGTGCTCAAACCTTTTCATCTTTATATTTTATCTACTACTACATTTTCCTGTTGGTTTCCACCTTCTGCTATGGAAGTGTATGTATGCAGAGAAAATATTTTGGCGAAAAGAGTGGCATGAAAGAATCGTTTTTGTTCTTCTTCTTCTTCTTCTTCTTCTTCTTCTTGTGTGAGTTTGTGTGTGTTGTGAAAGAGTTACTGCTACTGCATGTGGCTGCTGGCTTTCTCACTGACCCATTCCTCTTAACAGTCGTCCAACCCCAGAGTGCACCTGAAGACCTTTGACGGGCCGAAGCAAGTAAATGGCATGACTGCTCTCGGGGCCGTCGCCCTTTTCTGCCATTGCCTGCATCAGCCGTCTCTTTCGCCCTGGGCAAACGACAAGTGCTTTGTGCCTTTTTCTTTCATGCTTCCTAGCTACTTACCCTTGATCTGTGCCTGCATCGTCGCCATGTGTGTACCAGTACGAGACGTGAGAAGCTTCCCCTGGTCACAAAATACTTGTGCAGGAGAGCGAAGGAGAGCGAAATCAATTCTTTAGGCGCCACTGCGAAGCAGAATTCGATGAATCAATTAATCGATGTTGTAGGCCACACGATTCAGTTTCCGTCGTTATCTTCTTGAACGCATCCTCCTCCACCTTTCTATGTTCCCCAAGACAAAAGATGGTGCGCTTTCTTAGCCCCCAGGATTCCGCCTCTGAAAAGGAACCCCCGCTCGCCTGCTTTTAATGGTGCTACAGGTCTAATCTAATAATAATTAGAAGCTAAGCAATCATTCTTAGTTCCTGTTGTTCATTAAGGATGGTTGGAGGGATGCAGCCTGTCCATGATCCACTGCCAGTGCAGCAACTGAGGGCCCGAGAAGAAGTGATGACTAGAGACAGATGAAGAGGAGGAGATAAGGTCATCGTAAGGGAAGAGAGAGAGAGAGAGAGGAAGATGGGGAATCGAGGAATACAAAAAGGAGGAAAACTGGACAGTGATAACATGGTGACAGGATTCTCGGGAGAAGGAGCAAAGCTTCCGTCCACTTCACCTTCTCAAATTTATGTTGGATTTTATATTTGCTTGAAGTTCTTCCTGTTGATGATGACAAGTATTATGATTGAATTAAGTTCATTTGTTGGACATGGAGTGCTCACGTTTAGACTACACTTTGGCTTGTCCATAACATTAAGCTTTGCTGGAAGCAAAGTGTCCACAGGATTAAGCATAGCTGGAACATAAGAGAAGACAAACTTGCAAACTGGATTGGAAAGCGATCCAAGCTTGAGATGTATGGGCCATAAGAGGGTCGGCGTCTCTATCAACTCAGCAACATTTGCCTAATTTTCTCTGTTCGAATTTATATCGGGATTGTAGGTGGTGGATATGGATGCTGACGAAGTCGCTTGTGATCGTCTTCACGAGATGAAGGGTGAGAGATCCTTCCTAATGATGCACTAAATTCTATCCGATTGTCCAGCCGCGGTAGAATAGATATATATTCCTTGAATAAGAATAATTGAGGTAACAATAATTTATAAATGGTAGAGAAGTACAGCGTTGACC